GAACACATCGCACGAGGAAAAATATAGTTAAAAGGCCTTTATTTGAATGGCCAAAGCCGACATGTTTCCACCTTAACTGGTCTTCATCAGGGCTTGAAAAACCAAGAACTCCTCTCAAACCAAGCCAGAAAGAAAAAGTGGTTTGAGAGTGGAGTGAAAGAAGCCATTTTTGTTAAGAAAGACAATCCTTCTCTAAACAGAAATGGACTCAGACACCGTCTATCTCCTATTTACAACTCCATCCTCAAACCTTATTCAAAACAAACAAGAACAACAGGTGTGTCCAGGTCAGGTTCAGAGGTGTGGAAGCTCCATTATGGACATTAATTGTTATGCTAATTAGACCCCCACACACTGTACAGGTCAATAGGCCTAATTAACTAACAGAAACTGTAAACAAGTGTGTGTGTTAGTTTCAGAGTAGTTTCAGTGTAGTTACCTCCTCCCTGCAGATATAAGGAAGTGTCCACCAAAGTCTGACCAGAACTGAAGAAGCAGCTTGGATGAACTGCGAAACGTCTTCAACCAAACTAACTTTTGTCCAGTCGACAAACTGAATTTTCTCCTCTGTACACAAGGCGTACTTTTCTTGTTTTTATGGAGATATATTCTCTCGTATAAATTTGTAAATTAAACACACAGAAAAAAAGAAAAACATGTAAAATAGCAGTAGCAGCTCCGTGAAACAACTTCAAATTTATGATTTACATGACCAAAATAAAATATGTGATCTCAAAGAGCTTGTGAACATATAATACTTACAAAGACGAAAATGATCAATTGTAAGGTTCAAATGTTAGAATGAACAAGCGTGAACAAGAGCGAAATCGAGACGTCAGTTGCCAGCGGCCGTGGAAACATCTGAACTTTTACCGAGAGCAAAACAAACGTTAAAGATCATCTTAACCCAAAGACATGACAACCTTCAAGTGTTCTCGTGTAAATAGACCCTTAATGAGGAATACATTTAAACTGTTTAAAATGATCTAGTGCTGTTTTTTCACATTTTTAACACAGTAAAAATCAGGTACAGCGTCTTAAATCTGAGCCTCGAGTGTCTTTGTAAACCCGTCTCCGTCTTTCCTCGGCTCTCGGTCATTTAAATTTCTGCAACAATAATCACCATCTCTGAAAACGTGATAAAGTTTCATGCAGTGGGTCTCTGTGGTGATTCTGTGCACTTCCTGTCTGCGGGGTTTGGCGGAGCGTGACCATAACTCCCCGAGCTCTATAGGAGGAGAGAGCGCGTGCATTAAACACAAAAATACTGAATCACCAAACAGCCATCCCTCTAAACATCGCTCTGCACATTTCCATCGACTTGGATTGATTGACTCTGAAGTTTGTGTGGATCTAACTCGACAATAACTCAACTTTTATTGTTATTGAAGATCCTGCATTACTCTAAATTGACTCTGGTGAGATTTAAGTCTCCGAACACAACTCCAGGTTTGTTTTTTATGAGGAAACATTAGAACAGAGATCAGAAAATAGTGTCATACGGGCTTTTTAAATTGTGCATGCAGTGAAAATTTGAGCTTTTTCTTCAAAAACACTCAAAAGTTGAACATTTGCCATCTCCAATGAGCACTGTTGTTTGAAGTACTATGTGACGTCACGCAGGACTTGCCCTGATTACAGCCTGGTGTTTCTGGTACAAACATCTAGCTGGAGTTTGTGTCGATACCTGTTAAGGTCGAAGTTTAGTTCTGCGTCGACTCATCCCGCACCTGCCGGCGTCGCCTTATTGCCGCCGTTTTTGATTTATGGATCTGTGTCGAGGTCTGTGCGCCGCGAAGTAATTCACTGCCACAACACCAGGAGGCGAGGATTTAAAAATAGCTTTTGTGTTTTACAAAATGAAGCGGGAAAGCGGAATGCCGGAAATGTCTGCATCGTTTCGACGTGTAGATACAACATTTCGGAGGCGCACTTCGGTCGACGCAGACGCTCTGCATTGCAACGCAGATGATTTGACGCACAACCATAAATTACAAGGTTTTAAGGACACGAGAACGCTTGCGGGTAAAAACTACAAATATTTTACAGGAAAATGTCTTTTGTTTAGATGGTGACGGCGTTTTTGGGGCTTAAAAACGCAAAAATCTGAAAGCACCGTCCAGAGTGTAAAAGTTGAATATGCTCCGCCGTAGCGTTTCCGTCTACACTGCCCAAGACACAAAACTCTGGTCAGATCTGCTCATGTCGCGTACACGTTTACGTCACATACACGTTTACGTCACATACACGTTTACGTCACATACATCACCATCTAGAGTCACTACTGAGCCGCCTGACCTGCAAACACAATCCAATTCCACACACTTTTGCGTCACCGTATGCAGCAGATTTCCTCCCAAAAACGCTCGTCTAAACGCGAAATAAAAAGTGAAGACGCGACGCCACTTTTGCGTCTTCTGTTCAGACGTCATCGTATAAACGTAGACTTAGACCAATCACACTGTTCCTTATACCTCCAGACCCCGCCCCTCCTCCTCCCCAACTCTCCCCTTTAGTCCTTTAGACTCCGCCCAGTTTAGCACCTCTATTTGAAATATGTTTGTGGGCGGAGTTTAGCGTCCACTCCAACTTACAGTACCTGCGTGAAGTTGGCCTTCAATTAAATGCAACTCTACACAAAAACTATGTCAACCATTTGTGCTTTTTTGTGGTGCTAAAGTTTTGTTTGTGCTGCTTTGGTTTTGGAGATATTAGTGATTCTTTTATTGGTCAAATTGGGGGTTGGCCAGCCCCACAGGAAGCTTCAAAATGCTCTAAAACGCCCAAAACGTCATCAATCGTTTGTGCTGTTTGTGTTGTTTCTGTTAGGTGCCACTGGAGTGGACCCAAAAAAAGGACAAGGTGCAAAAGTAAGGGTTTATTAACCAGGGTGGACAGGCGGTGGTGAGGTTAGCCAACATGGTCCCAATCTGGTCCATCTGAGCGGCAAAAGTTTGCTGGTTTCCCACAATTTCTTTGAGCTGATTGTCGTGTTTCCCCAGTAATTGACCTTGATTGGAGACAGCTTGGAACAAAGGACTTGAGTCTGTTGGGTCCATGCTTTGGCCAGATTGTTCTGTTATGTGACACTGGAGTGGACCCAAAAAGGACTCAAAACTACAACAAGAAAGTGCAAAAGAAACAAGGTTTATTAACCAGGGAGGTCTGGTGGTGGAGAGATGAGGAGCCAGATGTCGGGATGCGGGAGTCTTGAAAGGCAGGAACTAGGAGCACAAAAATGCAGGTAAGTATATAGCAAGCGAGGAAAAATCAAAAGCTGAGCCGATAGGAAAATCACCGTCAGGTAGACAAAACAATCTGGCAGAGTCTGGCAGGAGAGCTGGGCCTTTGTAGCAGGCTTGATTGGAGATGGAAAGCAGGTGCTCCCAGCAGACTCCGCCCACGTCCACACCCAGAAGACTCAGGACAGGCAGGGGCGTGACAGTTTCGTTTGTACTATTATGGTTCTTAGGTCTTAGGTACGGCTGTCACGGTGAAGGAATTTCTCCTGTGGTGTGGTTTAGTGGCTCAACAGCCCGGTGTGCCGTGATACTGCCTGCCCTCCCCCACTCCCCAACCCCCAGAGTTTTAATATTTCCTGCTCTGGAAACTCTCTGATGATGCTCTTGTTGCGTAGATGCACATGTACCGTATTTTCCGGGCTATTAGTCCCTCTGGATTATAAGACACACTGTCATTAAATGGTCTATTTTCGATTTTTTTTCACAAATAAACCTCGTGGGACTTTAAATGAAACCCAACAGTGTGATGGGTGAGTGGTTTTGTTTGTTTGTTCGTTCACGGTGACTCTGGGCTTTGTTCAGTTGTGGCGTGTAGGGAGGGTGTGTCTGGGACCAACGGATTGTCGGCGTGTTCGCAGTGACTCAGTTGTTCAGTCGTGTCTAGAAGCGGCACGTTGCGCTCGTCGCTCCATTCTGTTCCTCGTCGGCGTGGAGTGATGAGTGTGTCTGTGTGTGTGTTTCTCTGTGCGGTCGCTGTCTGCTCCGTGTGTGTTTGTGGCTTTGTAGTTTACTGAAGTCGTACTGGGACGCCCGAGTGGATTCGTGTATGGGGCGCTCTGGATTGTGGCGCGCGGTCGTTTTTTGATGGGGTTAGAGGCTTAAGAGCGCGTCTAATAGCTCGGAAAATACGGTAGTCGTTTTTTCGTTTTCTTATTTTTGGTTTTATTTTGAAAAACGAATGAATGAATGATACACTGATTGTTCTGCTGATGGTGAGTCTGTTCTGTGCGAGTAGTTGTAGCTCCGCTGTTTCTCATTTGTTTGTGGTTTGTTTAAACTGTTTTCCGCAACAGCGTCACATGACCGATGTCACGAACCCAGAGAATCAGGAAGGCACAAGTCACAGTGACGTGGACCAATAAGGACACGACTCGAGCTCCTACGTCAGAGTATCAGTGTTTTCAGGCGTCCACACGGTGCTGGATCAGATCTGTACTCAGATGAATTCGTGGGAGTTGGAGGCACCGGATCGTTCCGTCTCTGGAGCCGTTTTCAATCGGATTAGTGTGAACGAACACTACATCCACAACCAAAACAACTCAAATACAAACTAGTGTGGACTGCACCTTAGTTATTAGCTATTTTTGACCGATGACGTCACCCCGCCCACTCTGAAAATGTTAAAACGTGCAAAAAAATCGCAAACTATTACATAAATTCTTTCTGGTTTGTTTGTTCTGTTGTGTGCAGTTAATATTTTACTTTCTGTGTTAATATTTTTTGTTATTATTTACTTATTTCACTGATTATATTACGTTGTGAATAAAAAAATCGTTAAAGCAGCACAAATGAAACTTTTTGCAACACAAAACGGCACAAACGAAGCACAAACTATTGACGTCTGACATCTGTTTCTGTGTAGGTTTGTGTTTGACGGTGGGACAATTTCACCTTTCAACTTTACTCATTTTTACCTGTCTTCACCTGTCTTCACCTGTCCTTACCTGTCGTGCTGAGCCGGGTGTTCCTGTGTTCCAGATTGTCACCCCTCGTGCCGCTCGTGCGTGGGACCTCTGGCCTCGGACTGCGTGATCTGTCTCAAACCCGACCTGGTCCTGGTTCCTCAGTATCCGAGCTCCCGACACGGAGTCTGCGCCGACAAGTGTCCCAAGTACAGCTACACGGACCCCGACGACGTGTGCAGAGGTGAGCGGACCGCACACACATCACACATCACACACTCACACACTCACACGCTGCGTTTGTTATGTTGTGTTTGTCAAATGTGGAGCCAGATCCCTGTACAGCTGGAGGTGAAAGTGAAAGTGGAACTGAAGTAGATGTTTGTTTGACCTGGACAACAGCAGGGATGCACCGATATGCACAGATATAGAACATTTTTAAATATCAGAGCCGTCAATTTCCCCCTTTGGTGTATAAATTGTTGTACAAAGATGATTTACCAATGTTGGTCCCAAAACACTTTGTAACATTGAACTGAGAGCTGTTCAGTGCGGTGACTTTTACGTGTGGACATCAACATTTCGTCGACAGCACTTTAATAATGCCACTTGTGAGTATATTTATTGTTGCTCACATTAATTGTGTGTATACTGAGCTGTTCTGGAGTCAAATTAGAGAAACCTAGACCGCATAGTCTGTTAATATTTATATATGGGACTGTATTTGACGAGACTGATTCATCAGCCGGTTTCACTTGGTGGAAACCGTGTGACCTCGCAGCATTAGGATTTGTTCACTCGACAGTAGGCAGTGTAGAGGCTAATCTTTGACTCGTTTTCTCCTTATTGCTAATTTAACCTTTTCATAAAGAAAGATGACTAATGAGCCTGTCTTACGCGTTTACAACTTGACGGTAAAACGACCGTGTTGCTCCAGTCATCTGTTTTCTTTATTGTCAACAAGTTCAAGAACAGCATTTCTTCACATGAGAATAAAACAGATATGCACTAGTGCGCCCCCAATGTTCAAATCACGTATAACCTTTTTTCTTTCCGTTGAGTCAAACATAAATCATGTACTTGAACATGTTAAATTGCTTTTTAAACTAAAATACAAATGAATCATTATGAATTGTTAATTATATTGAAATATGTAATCTTATGAAATGGCGCTTACAGGCGGGTACTTTTTTTTATTTAACCAATCGCTGCTGTTTGATCGTGACGTATGTAATGCACCAAATCCTGTAGGAAGAAGAACAATAACGTCTTTCCCTTTGATAAAATTCACCAAACATTCTCTTTGGTCCGACTTTAAATCATCGATCTGGGGAATTGTTGTCAACACAGAATGTCTGTCTTCGTCTACATCTCGATGCTTTGTTTACTGTTGTGTTGTTCCACAAAAGGGACACAGACAGACGCCACCAGTTTGACGTCATGATTTCACAGCTCACAGCTGATTGGTCGGTGTGTCGTCTACAACTTCCAGGGTTCTTGCAAACCGTCTAGTGTTTTCTGATTCCTGATCTATTCGCTGGAGAGAAATGAAATTGAGCAGAGGCACTAGGTGGCACCAGCCTGGGAAGAATGTGACTCCATCTTTGTACAAACAGGGCTTGTTTATTCCTGCATCATGTCAATGTTTATTCTTCTTAAAAATAATCCCGGTGGTTCAGTTCATGCTCGTTGTGTCGTCCTTCGATCCGGCTCCTCCAGTCGTGTCTTGGGACTTTCCTCCACGTCTCTTTGGATTTGTGAGTGGGATGTGGGAGTGGGCTGAGGTAGAGCAGCCTCACACTCACTTCGTCTTCTTCCTCCTTCTCCGACGCTCTTCCCTTCTCCTCCTCAGCCGACAGACGTAAAGCGTGACGAGACAATTATCATTATCATCGGAAACACTGCGGAAAAAGTTTGGATCGTGTTTGTGTCCGTGGAGTAACGACAAACCGAGATGATAGAAAAGCCAGGGAGCAGTTGAAGTGTTTGTGTTTTCTTCCGGTCGACGTAAATCCGTTGGCGTCTCTGTCCAATCAGAACCTTCCCCCGCCCCCAGACACTGAACGGAATTAAATAAAGACGATTTAACGAGTTTTCCGTGTAAACCTCAACTCAGAATTATTATTTCCATGTAAACTCGAAGGAGAATATTTTAATTCCAAACTATTTAGTTCAGAATTAAACATCATGTCAACGTGGCCAGTGAGACATTAGCAGCAAAGTGACTGAGTGGAGCACAGTTGCCTCACAGTAAGAAGGTTCTGGGTTCAACTCCCTGGTCTTTCTGTGTGGAGTTTGTGTGTTTTTGTGGAGGTAACAACATTCGAACATGGCTCAAAGTCCATTTTCCGTAATATAGAGCCTTTAATCCCAGAGTCAGAGCCAAACTAAACAATATTCAAACTTTGCTCAAGCTTTTTACACGGTCATAATTTCATTGGAAACAAATTACACTTTTTATTCGTCTAAATGTAATTTGCATCCAGTGGTTCAAATTTGCATGTCATTTCTTTCAATAAAACACAATATTTCCCCACATCCTCAAAGCTCCATTCAGACCTGCTCCTGCCGGGGCTGGGCTCCTGCCGGCACCTGTCGAACTCTCAAATTGAAAACAGTGTGACTTTTTTCCCCACTCCCTCACACTGCATTCATAATAAAGCAGGTGCAGGAAAGTGTCTTGCTCAAAGGACACAGTGATTCAAAGGGAAAATGTAGTTTCCACATCCAGTGTTTTACTCAATTGCATTTACTTGAGTAACTTAGTAATAGCTGTCATATGTCATACTTTGTACTTTTGTATTTCATTGTCAGTACTCTTACATTTTGTATTTTACTGAGTTATTTTTGAGGCCAAGTCGTACACGAGAAGGTAAAAATGACAGAATAATTTTATGGGAAGTGCCTTTCGTTTAGACGGTGACGGCGTTTTTGGGTCTTAAAAACGCAAAAATCTGAAACCACCTCCAGAGTGGAAAAGTTGAGTGTTTCCGTCTGCACTGCCCAAGACGCAAAACTCTGGTCAGATCTGCTCAGGTCATGTACTCACAGTGTTGGGAAGTTTACTTTTAAAATGTAATCCCCTTCAGATTACATATTACATTACCCCAAAGTGTAGTTTGTAACATAATCCATTAAATGACTTAAAGTGAGTAATGTAATCTGAATACTTTGGATTACTTGATTTGCTATAGAGAAACAAAGACGAGGAAATCTTCACATAAGAAGTTTTGTCTGATAAAAGAAAATAAAAAGTCCAGACTTTACTGAACCAAATTCAAAATATTATTGATAGAAGACGAGGAAACACGGTCTGCGCGGCATGGTTTAGTCCTGTTTTGGTCCTGATAAATCCTGTTTTAGACCTGGTTTAAACCTGGTTTTAGTCCTGGTTTAGTCCTGATTTAGACCTGGTTTAGACCTGGTTTAGTCCTGGTTTAGTCCTGGTTTAGTCCTGGTTTAGACCTGGTTTTAGACTTGTTTTAGACCTGGTTTTAGTTCTGTTTTAGTCCTGGTTTAGTCCTGGTCCAGTCCTGGTTTAGTCCTGGTTTAGTCCTGGTTTAGACCTGGTTTAGACCTGTTTTAGTCCTGTTTTAGTCCTGGTTTAGTCCTGGTTTAGACCTGTTTTAGTCCTGTTTTAGTCCTGGTCTAGTCCTGGTTTAGTCCTGGTTTAGTCCTGGTCCGGTCCTGGTTTAGTCCTGGTTTAGTCCTGGTTTAGTCCTGTTTTAGTCCTGTTTTAGTCCTGTTTTAGTCCTGTTTTAGTCCTGGTTTAGTCCTGGTTTAGTCCTGGTTTAGTCCTGGTTTAGTCCTGGTTTAGTCCTGGTTTAGTCCTGGTTTAGTCCTGGTTTAGTCCTGGTTTAGACCTGTTTTAGTCTGGTTTAGTCCTAGTCCTGGTTTAGTCCTGGCTCGGTGATTGTGGTGTATATATTTATTCTCCGTTCATGTTTGTGGTTCTGGTTCTGGGGTTTTTCTTCCTGATAATGACGTCGCTGCGTCTCTGGATACTCGTCCCTGATTGGTCGACGCGGCGAGTCTGACGCGAAAAGTTCAGCATTTTCAACTTCTTGACGCCGACGCCCTGGACGCGCGTCTAGAGCGTCGACGCCAAAACGCTCAAGACTCGCCGCGTCAATTCCAGATTCTCGCCGCACTGACGCCCGAAGACGCGCCGCAAAAACACAGGACGCTCTAGTCGCGCGTCCACATCGACTTTACATAGAAACTGGACGATTTGAGTCTTTGGTGTGAACGAACCTTAAGACTTGGAACTCTTGACACTTGACACTCTGTTCCACCTTGTGATGTCATGTGGCAATAATACAGGAAGTGCTCCACTGTGCTTTTAAACTGCACACACCTTCACTAGAATCATTTGGATTACTTCAGACCTGGAATTTCAGAATCAGAATCAAATTTATTTGTCATTCCAGTATAAAAAATACACAGAAACAAAACAATGCACTCAGGTCCAGGTCAACAGCAGCACAGATAACAATAAGAACAAATAGTTATAATAAGAATAAAATTGTTAAAAATATTGTATATCAACCCGCCCCCATTTTCTAAAGTGCGTTCCAAGTCAGTGCTGTTTTGTAGTGTTTTTTCTGACAGAATTAATCTGTCTCACGGCATCAGGATAAAAACTGTTCCGTAGTCTCGTGGTCCTGGCCTGTAGGTGGCGCAATCTTCTGCCTGATGGGAGAGCTGTAAAAAGTGCATGTGCTGGATGGGTGGAGTCTCCATGATGCTGTGGGCTTTTGTCCTGCACCTGCTGATGTAAATATTTTCAATGCAGGGCAGACTACAGCCGCAGACGCGCTCCGCAGCTCTAACTATCCTCTGCAGAGCTTTCCTCTCTGCCTTGGTGCTGCTGCTGAACCACACAGTCATGTTGGTGGTGAAGATGCTCTCCACCGCACACCTGTAAAAGGCCTTCAGGACAGAGGGGCCCACACCTGCTTTTTTTAGGCGCCTAAGAAAGTATAGGCGTTGGTGTCCCTTTTTCACAATGCAACTGGTGTTCTTAGACCAGCTGAGACTGTTCATGATCTGGACTCCCAGGTATTTAAGACAGGAAACAATCTCCACCGCATCTCCATTGATGTACAGAGGAGAGGGGGCATTAGGTTTCCTGCGGAAATCAACAATCATCTCCTTTGTTTTCTTTATATTGATGCACAGATTGTTGGTTTTGCACCAAGCCTCCAGCTGACAGACCTCCCTCCTGTAATTGGACTCATCATT